GCCTCCAGGGTCCCAAGACCGTGCGGTGACGGACCGTGAGGTTTCAGGGGATCTCGAAGTCACCGCACGGTCCGTCACCGCAGGGTTTCGGGACTCCAAACGTCCGTGTCCGCCTCGTTGCCGACCGGTGCGTTGGGTGGATTTGGCGAGGCCTCCAAGGACCCCCCCAAGAGTTATGATGTTCTGACCTGCTTTAGCCTTGGTCACCGGGAAGAATTTCGAGCGCCCAAGAAAGTACCGAAACTCAAGGTTTTTCACGTGTCGGGCCCTGGGGAGACACTCGCCCGACACTGTTTCGGCACTGTTTCGATACTCTTTTGACACTTTTCTTGGTGCTCGAAATTATTTCTGGGATGCGGCCCTTAAGTAGGATGGGAACAACATAACCCAAGAGGCCAAACTCCTTCAAAAACCGGAGGAAAATCAATGTTTTTTGTCTTCTCGCCTTTTCGCCTCCGATGGGCTCTTGAGGCCTCAAGATGGCCCCAAGACGGCCCAAGATAGCCCCAAGAGGGGTCCAAGAGGGCCCCAAGACAGCCCCGAGAGCGCCCAAGAGCACTCCAAGAGCGGCCCAAGAGGGCCCCAAGACAGCATTTTTGAGCCTCCGAGGGGGGCGATGGGAATTGGACCCCTCCCTCTTTTTCAGCGCGAGGGTCCAAGACGGCCCCAAGAGGCCCCTCAGGCATCCCAAAAGAGCCCCAAGAAGGCCGTTTCGCCATGTTGCTGCCCGCTGCCGCCTCTAGCTTGCACCACGTATGCTGCACCGCATGGTGTACACCACACAGCTCACACATCCACAGTGCAATACCTTGTTCTTTGGGGTCCACGCTGGGTGACACTCTGCTAACGACAATTGGAGGACAACCATAATCTTACAATATCATGCTGCGCGCGGCCTTGTCTTACAGTCAACGCGCATAGTAAGGACGCGCGCCTATTCTAGGGTACCCCTGTGTCCTTGCTTCTGCGGCCCGTCCCTTGCCGCTTCCACAGGTGTTTTGGTCGCCCGCCGCCCAACAAGCCCCGACTTCGGCCTGCGTCCTTACCGCCCGTCCTTAATACAGTCGGGGCGCTGCAAGGGTCTTGCGTCCTTACCGCCCGTCCTTAATACAGTCGGGGCGCTGAGGAAGGAACCCTTTTCGTTGGGGCGGGGCTCGGTGTTCCTTAGTTCTTTTGCAGTTCGCCTTCGGTTTTGCATGTGGAGGGTTTCGATGGGAAGTCGAAGTTTGACTTATGGGAAAGAGGGGCCTCGTTCCTCATCTTGGGTTCCTCAGGTCAACGCCCCGACCGCATACGCTTTCACTGCACTCGGCGTTGGCAGCCTGCGCTCGACCAGCAGGCCTTCCGGGGCACCCGCGGGGGGGGGCGCGAAGGTGCGCGCGCTCCACGCCTCGCTGTTCGGGTCGGCGCGGCCGCTCTCCTTCCGCGGGGCGGCGCGAGGGCGTGACGATGTCCGCGCGTCGCGCCTCACGTGGCGCGAGGCGCGAAGTTGGGCGACCTTGGGTGTTGCAAGAAAGGGGTCGACGGGATGAGTGGGGCACGTGCTCGGGCGAGGGCATCGGGTCTCGAACGGCGTCTGGTCGGAGAGGGGGGGGAGGACGGAAGGGGAGCAAGGGGAGGAGAGGACGGAGCCGCAGCATGAATGGGCGGCGAAGGAAGGACGGAAACAGAAGAGGAGGGAGGCAGGGCGGGAGGGGAGGAGGAGGAGGAGGAGGAGGAGGAGGAGAAGGAGGAAGACTCGACTCAACAGCTGTGCAGCTCGTGCCCACGCAGCGGAAGACCCTCCCCCTCCGCTGCCTCACCCCGCGGGCCGGCCGGAGGCAGTATGGCCCCCTCTTCTCGCTGTGGTTCGCGACGCTGCCCATGGTCGCGACCCTCGCGACGCTCATAGGCCCTCGCCCCCCCGCGCGGCGCGGCGCAGAGGCCGCGCTTGCGTGCGCCGAGGCCCTTCGGCCGAAAGTCGCCCAGCGCGTTCCACTACAGTCGGGGCCCTGAAGAAGGAACCCTTTTCGTTGGGGAGGGGCTCCGTGTTACTTAAGTGTTTCGCGGCTTGCCTCGGGTTTTCCTTATGTTTTCGATGGGAAATCGAAGTTTAACTTATGGAAAATAGGGGCCTCGTTCCTTATTTAGGGTTCCTGAGGTCAAACGCCCCGACTGTATATCACCTGTGGCGGATCCAGGCTATTTGCGAGCAGCTACTTTGCGAGTAGCGGAGCGCGCTCGTCTAGAGAGAGGGGAGCAGGAAGTGTGGACCCGCGATTGCCAGCAGCAGGCCATCCCCGTCGTCCGCAAGCGGAACCGTCGATTCGTTCGCTGGTGGTGCCTCACAGTGACGAGCCGAGGTACAGGATCGAGGTCGGTTCGGGGAGGGTGCCCCGATGTTTCTCGTGCTTGTGGGACGTTTTCTGGTGCATCCTGGGGGATGGCACCCTCGAGTGATCTTACGGTTTGGGGCGTTTTGGTCAGCGGAGGGCCTCCTGTTTTGGGGGGATGTTGTTCAATCCTGGGTCCGACCGTAACCCGCGCCCCCGCCCTCCAGACGCTCGCGCATTCCTCTCTGCGTCGAGGCGGGGCAGATGATCCGCGACTTCAGCACGTGATGCCGTCCCCGTCGGCCGCGAGACCCTGGAACCGATGACGATTCAACAGGCCTACGCCACATCCGCCGACCCCTTTGTTGTAGCTCGTTCCCCGTGATCTTTCTGGTGCGTCCGGGGAGCGCCGCTTTTGCTTCTCAGGTGCGTCTTGGGGCTTCCATGGGCGGTCATCGGAAGGTATCATCAGGCTGATGACGATTATCCCATGCCCGCTCCGTCCAGACCCTGGCGCAGTCCCTGCCTTGTCGGGGCGGAGCACATGGACCCAGACGATGCCTTGCGCAAAGTCTTTGGCCTCCAAGCCCTGGCGCATGCCAGTCTTTGCGAAGACGGGGCAGATGGCCCACGACGTCTCCACATTAGGCTTCAGTTGGGCCTGTCCCCCTACAGGAGGAATATTCAAACATAGTCCGAAAATAGTCAGGGGACGATTCTTGTTCACCATTTTTGACAATGTTTTGAATATGATTGGGGGCATTTGTTTTTCGCCCAAAATCCCCCTGTAGGGGAAAAGGCCCGACCTCACATTAGGCCACCACCTTCACCCACGAGACTGCGGGTTCGTCGACTGATGCTGCCTTTTCCGATGCCCTCGCCCCCCAAGGCGCTGGCGCACTCCTCGCGCTCCGGAGACGGAGCGGGTGGCCCGCGGCTTCTCCGCAAGGGCCACCTCCGTCGGCCGCGAGGCCCTGGCTCTGTGGACTGGTGCTGCCGTGTTGACAGGCCCGTTTCCCTCTACAGTCAACGCGCCTAGTAAAGACGCGCGCCTTCATCTAGGATACCCCTGTGTCCTTGCCTCTGTGGCCCGTCCTTTGCCGTTCTCACTGGTCGCCGCCGCCCAAAAAATCCCAACTTCGGCCTCCAAGGGTCTTGCGTCCTTGCCACGCGTCCTTAATATACGTTTTGACTGTACGCCCTGGCCCACTCCTCGCCACGTCGAGGCGGAGCTGATGATGTGCGGCTCCCCCCAATGCGGCCAGCTCGATCAGCCGCGAGGCTCTGGCTTCGTTGTGGTGCGTTGCCGGAGGAGTCCTCACGGTGGAGGGCGACGTGCAAGTTCGAGAGGACGGTTGGCCTTTTCGGCGGCCGACGCACGGGCGGCGCACGGGCGACGAATGCGCGACGCACCTCCTGTCGCGAAGGGGGGGGGGTCAGCACGCCGGTCGCTTTACTGAGCCTTAACACTGGGGGCGTTGGTTCGCCAGATTCGGGCTACTGGGTCCTTTGCAAAAGGGGGTCTAGAAAATGTGCGCAATAGTTCGTGCAATCCCTCGTGCTGGATCGTGCTGGATGGGGACAGAGTGCGTTGCATATGGCACTGTTGGTCCGTAAGAGAGGCCACGGCGGCCACGCCCCATAAACCACAGGATTAATTAACTATTGTACATGTGTTTGCGACCCCATGAGGAAAGACCCCCACTGCCGGGAAGCAAGTTCAGGAATGCGCCCTGGATGCTGCAGACCATGAGGGCGGCGTGATAACCATGGCGAAGCCTCGATTGGAGTTCCACGGGCCTTCAGATCCTGGATTCCTTCTTGGAGGGTTCCTTACCCAATGCCCCAACCGTATCGAATGCCCTCGTCTTCCAGACCCCGGCGCATCCTTGCCCCTGCCGGGGGCAGAGTATTTTTTGAATATTCAAGAATAGTTTAAATAGAGTCTGGGGACTATGTTTTGCATTTTTTGGCCATCTTGGAGCATCAGTTGCGTATTTGTTTTTTTCCATCCAAGATCCCCGTGTAGGGGGGCACGCCCGACGCAAGGCCAGAGGCCCGGAAGCCGAGTGGTCTGACCTTTCGTTCTGGAGTGGCCTCCTGACTCCATACTCCGCGCCCTCGCCCCGGCGCACGCTTCGCTTCGTCGAGGCGGGGCAGACGGACCCGCGGTTGCCCCTCCAGTGCGGGCCCATCCTCGTCGGCCGCGAGGCCTCCGGCCCGGAGGCGGCTGCCGCGGCGCCACGGGCCCGACGCCCTCCCGACTGGTTCGGGGGAGGGGGCCGCCCTCCGCAGCCGCTTCTGCCCGGGCCGGCTTGGCCGAGGCGCCGCGGCGCTGCGGCCCCGCACCCGCCCCCCTGGCGGGCCGAGGAGGGAGGGAGGGAGGGAGAGAGGGGTGAGGAGGAGGAGGAGGAGGAGGAGGAGGAGGAGGAGGAGGGGGAGAGGAGGAAGAGGAGGAGGGAACAAGGAACAGGAACATAGGAGCAAGCAAGAGGAGGAGGAGGAGAGGAGAGGGAGGAGGAGAGATGGGAGGAGGAGGAGAAGGGAGCGGAATGCACATCTACAGTGCAGCGGCTGCTGCAGGCGCGCTGCAGCGCCAAGCGGTGCAGAGCGTCATGAGGGAGGGCGGCACAACATATCAGATCTAGTTTGCCAGCGTTTACAGTGGTTTAGGCCGCGTTAAGACAAGCAATCGGGAGGTGGTGCAGCAGGAGGAGGGGAACGGCAAGTGGCGGGGGGCCGAATCAGGGTAAGGATCAGGAGGTTGAGAAAGGAGGAGGAGGAGGCGGAGGAGGAGGAGGAGGAGGAGGAGGAAAAGGAGAGGAGGAGGAGGACGAGGAGGAGGAGGAGGAGGAAGAGATGAAGACGCTGTGGAGGCGCGAGGGCGCGAGCGCTCGAGGAGGGGGAAGGAGGAGGGCCGCGGAGCGCGCGCGGCGCAGCAATGGCACGCGGCGAGCTGTACTCCCTGCTGGGCGTCGCGCCGCACTGCGGGCTGGAGGACCTCTCCTCCTCCTCCTCATCCTCCTCCTCCTCCTCCTCCTCGCTCCTCCCCTCCTCCTCCTTCCTCCTCCTGCGGGCTGGAGGAAACTCCCGCTCGGCCTTCAAGCGGTTCGCCCTTGCCGTTTCACCCACCCCGACAAGGGGGGCAGCAAGGAGCCGCCGCGAAGCCGACGGGCCCCGAGGGACTTGGCATCGCTCGGACGTGTGCGTTTTTTTTTTTTCCTCGGCGAGGACCATCGAGGAGCATCCTTGACCCTTTGGCGAAAAAAACACGCACGAAGCCGAAAAAAACACAGGGAATGGACGTCCGAGCGATGGCCAGGGGAAGCCCAGCCCTTCGACGCTTTCGACTCCGCCTCTGGCGTCCCGCGGTGTCCCGCGGAGTCCCGTCGTGTCCCGTTGAGTGAGATCGATAGTGAGATCGATTGAGTCAGATGTTGGCTCCCCCCCTCCCCCCCCACCCACCCCCCACACACACACCACACCCACACACCACACACCAAACACACACACACACACAACACAACACACCAACACACACACAAACACCACACGACAACCACACACAACACACTACACACACACACACACACACGACACACACCACACGCACACCCCACTCACAACAGCACACTCACGCACACACTCACTAGAGCACAAACGCACCCGCACGCACGCGCACAACAGCACTTGGAGCAGGGCGCACCTGCACACGCGCCAGCCCCACACAACACACACACACACAAAAAACCACACACACACACGCACACACACACGCACACGCCATTCTGACACTACACACACAATCCCATCACCGACACACACGCACACGCACACGCACACACACACACACACACACACACACACACGCACACACACACACACACACGCACACACACAACCTCCTTATCACCCGAAGGGTGGTCATATAGGCATGCTTTTGCGATCCCGGCGCTCTCCGCCTCCGAGGGAGAGAAACATACACCCCGACAAGGGGGGCAGCAGGGAGCCGCCGCGAAGCCGACGGGCCCCGAGGGAGGCCCGGCTCTCCGACGAAACGTGCGTCTGCGATCCGGACGCCCTCGCCTCCAAAGGAGAGAAACACACGCAGCTTGAATACTCGATGACTCCTCCTCCTCCTCCTCCTCCTCCTCCTCCTCCTCCTCCTCCTCCTCCTCGCGCGGATTTGTTGTCCCTCCGGCGGTGCCTCCGGCAGCCCCTGGCGCGGGAAGTCCATCAGGAGGGGAGCAGAAACACACAGGCACAATTCGTCGTCGACTCCCAGGAGAATAGGGGGAAGTATGGGAAGTGGGGGGGAAGACGAAATCCCGGAAAATATGGGGTATTTGTGTGTACTTATTTATTTGTACGTCCTTGGGCCCCTCCAGTCCAGCGCAAGTCCGAGAGATCCGCGAGGACTTTCGGAAGTGTATTTACCAGCCTGGAACATATCCCTATCCCTATGCTGGGCACCTCCTCATCACGATGCCAATCTTAGGGATTCCCTTATTTTTTGAGGGCGAATCCCTAAGATTGTCATCGCCTTTTGGCGTGTCAATCTTAGGGATAGGGATACGTT